GTAACCCTACGGTATCTGCAGAGGAGAATCCGTTAAGGTTTGTCGAATATGTATATTATTGTATTTGCAATAGTACCGTGATTCCAGAATTCGGATTTCTTGGTCGTTTTCCTGGATTGGCACGCGTGACTTAAACTCAGAAAGCAGATAGCCGTAACACTCCCCTCTTCAGTTTTAACTTTTCTACGTTCAATGATGCATACCGTTGAATGTTGTTGAGCAGGTGTTCGTTTATTGGTTAGCCGTCGGATTGCAAACGTTTCGTCACCACACCGGTAGACATCATCAATGTACAATGATGTTTCCTCTTACCAACGCATACTTTTACCAAATCTAGCAATTAATCATTGATGTACACCTGGTTCCACCATTCTTGCTAATGAAACCAATTAAGCAAGTGGTAAGTTTACCTGAATGGCAGTAGGACCTCAGCTTCAGCAGGGGCACCCACCGGAAATTGCGGACAACAGCATTTATCACACACCCGATGAGTTTGCCGCCACAAATTTGTTCTATTAGGTCTTTCCAACGATATTCCTGGGGCTGTGCACGAGTTGTAATCGATCACACAGCTTTTGTTTCAGAAATCCTGTCGAGCTCATTCGGATTCCTGAAAATGCGAACTGGTTGTGCTGTACGTTATGGTTGGACCGCATCACCCAGTAAATGAAATGAATGAAACGAAATAAACGTGACTCGATAATGGTTGTTGTGCATATTTCGGGCATGGCCTTGGCAGATTAACGACGTGTATGGATGTGAAGGGCCGTCGGTGGTCGCTGGGATTGGCAAGAATGTATAACTTGGGCTTCTTAATTAGCTGCGTTCGTGAGTAAATCATCGATTAGTAATCGTGTAAGTGACAACGCATGTATATATGAGTATACAGAAGCGTCGCTGGCCGATTACCATCTTGTCTAATAGAGAAAATAGGCAAAGACCCATTGTGCTGAACATGGCTGATCCTCTATTCATTGTTCTATTCATTATTCCCTTGTTTGAGTTGGGTTCACTACCAAAGGTCAGTCTGTTAACGCCACTCCTGCTGTTTCAAATACTAACGAGTCCTTTGTAGATGATCCTATGGTATCCAAACAAAACGTTGTATCTGAAGATTACACAACCTGTGAAGTTTCCATTCCGAGAAGATCCGAAAGGTTGCGATCAAGACCACCACACGCGGATATGATGAACATGACCGATCCTCTATTCATTGCTCTATTCATTGTTTTCTTGTTTTATTATTCCATATGCTGTACATATACGCCAATTCGAATACATACGTGCTGCTTGTTACACTGCGCTGAATTCTGGATTTCTAGATCGTCTGGTTATTCCGATATACGTGCGAAACTTAATTCTCACATTTTGGCGTCGCGATTGAAGCAATTCATTATGCCTGCCGAAATGAAACCATTAGATGTAGATTCAACTGCGCGAGACGTAGATTATTTGGAACGGTTCGATATGTGGTGCCCCACGAAATCTGATATGGATGATAAGAAACTCACGGCATATTTCCCACATTTAATTGGCAAGGAGGCGTATACGTTGATCAAGAATTTAGTATATCCTGAATCGCCAATCGGTATTTCCGACAACGCATTGGAGAAAAAGGTTCTTCAACACTTCGAACCGATTAACTTCATAGCAGCCGAAAGAGCTAGGTCCAATATGATGACCCGCTCCCATTCTTAGTCGTTTCATGATTTCGTATTGCAGCTACAGACACGGGCAGCCAAATGTGACTACGGTGCCCAATTGAAAGACTAGCTGCGTGATAGGTTCATTGCTGGCATTCAACTGCCCGAATTACAGCAGAAGTGACTGCTCTCTCCGGATCGGAAAATATGTGAGCAGTATGAAGATGTGAAGGATGTAACGAAGACTGAGGAAGCAGTCTTGTTGAATTATTCTAAAAGAAATAATTCAAGGATGCAGACGAACAGCAAATTCAGACCTCGAACAGATTCTCGTGCCCCAAATCCATCAACACGTCACTTCAGATATCGTAACTCTAATTCGATGGTTCAAAAATTTTGGAAATTTGAATCTTATGGACGAAACCATTCCAGCCATTCATGCCCTCACAGGCGAGCGAAATGTTTTATCTGCGGTAAAACAGGACACATTCAAATTGTCTGTGAGTCCAAAAAAGGGTGCCACTTAACTTCTGACCCAAATACTGACGTGAAAGCATTATCTGAAGATATCTGTACTCTTTCTGTATCTGTTTTGTCCTAAAATTCGTCACACGTTTTTCAAACGTTGATATCCGCTTCTGGTCGAAAGCGCGACTGCATTGTTCATACTGGTGGTGTTGAGTCCATTATTACACACTCAGATCTAGCTGCATTCTACCCCGGTGCCGTGATAGCGCCCACGGATGTTAACATGTATGAGCCAGAGTTCAAAAAATTTCTTCTTTGTCGCGTTTTGAATTGACCGAAATTGAATTGATGATAGGCATCCAAAACACCACGCTTGTCAAAGTTGATCACACTTACGACTGTTTCAATTGGTTAAGCAACGAACACCAAGTTCGGCAACTAAACCGGCAAAACCTCGAACGAAATGCTACACAGGTGTGCTGTACTATCACATGGACACAAAGCTACAAACCTCACTGGTTTCCGACACACTGAGGTACTCCAAAATGCAAGCAAGGGGTCCATTAGCCGCACAATACTCAGCTGCGAAACGTTTACGAATGGAGCAAGACTTACGCCGAAAGGTTGCCTCTTATTGCGTATGGACTCAAGCCAAAAACACTAATCCACGCGAATATTTTTGCAGCTCACCAAATTTCGTTGTCCACTGGAGCAATCATACCTCTGGCGGAAAAGTCCAGTGGAATACTTTCCCAGAATTGCTGAGACCTCAGGATGCCTAAGTGGGGCTCAAAAGCTTGGACTGGTTCTCTGAGCTCAATTGCACGATTGTTTCAGTCCATCAGAGGCACGTCGTAACTTTCGAAAATTAAACTTCACTGTGCTAATGCTGAGCGCCAGCAAGTCAAGTCGATATGGAACAACAGTCAATGAATGATCGAAACCGGGCGGAAATTTGATGCATTGAAACAAATCTTTTGCTGGCACAAATTTAGACAATAAACAGTATCACAGAAACCTTTGACTGCTTACTATTTCGGGCCGCAGTAAAACTCATGCCATAGTGCTTTCCAGCAGATATTTTGACACTTTGTGGACAGGGCCGAATTGTTGCCTCGTTTGAATGAGGGCAGTGAACCACCGCACGACCTCAAATAGAGTTTGTCCTTGTTGGTCATAATTTGTCATGATTTCCTGGGCCATCCTAAGTACTATGGCGCACCTAGCTGACTCCCGAAGGCGTTCATGTACGGGGCTGTTTAGGAACCCAAGAACGACGTCGTGATGATGGTATCGCGTCTGCCATACCAAGCCTGATGGCTTGCCCGTGGTTCATATCTCTAATATTTCCCGATCGAGTGTTACACGCGTCCACGGAACCACCCAAACCAGAGCGTAGAAGCACTGGCTACCATATTGCGCTGTCTGCTGGTTATGACCATAAACCCACCACCTCTCCTCATGGCACTATTAAGGAACCATTTAACGATGAAGATAAAAAACTTGCCGCGCGCCTGATATACTGTGTATATCACCATAATAAAGCGAAAAACTTACTAGCTGTGACAAATTTCTCGACTTTGTTTGGCGGGAGGCCTACCGCAAATACAGAAAATTTTTTCTATACATGTGAATGGCTCCTTAATTTTGCCTTTGAGCAGACACCGGGCGTGTAGTTATTGTTTATATAGTTTTGCGATTGGTTCTCAATCCACTAAGAAGATGACACGTGGAGAAACAAGCTGTTACACAGAGTTTCCGACCGTCTCCGCGGAGATATCACGCAAAGCCACTGACAGTTATTAACATACGATTTCACCGCCCATGTTAGACATCGAGTGTGTTTGAGCAGCTTTCAAAAAAACCGCGGCCACATCTTAAGGGTTCGAATAAATACCGTCAAGTGCTAGAGCTTTTTTAAAGATTCCTTCGTTCAAACTACGGTTTCAGAGAAATTTGGAGTGTGCGTCCAAGGGTCGGCTCGCCAAAGCACGAAGGCCGTCGGATTTATGAATTCCGCGCCCAAAAATGACCTTGAGTGCGTCCAAACATTTTTTTCAAAAACTCTGATCGTCCTAGGTGATTTAATATTTGGAATAAATACTGCCAAATGCCAAAGCTTTTTGTGAAAGTTTCCTTTGTTCAAGGTACGGTTTCAGAGAAATTTTGGTTTGGCCTCTACCAGCCATCCATCTGATGCTTTAACCAATCGGGTGCGGGTTGAACGTACTGACCATTGCACCGCCCAGTCGTGAACCGTGAGGTGGTTTGGGGTGTGGGATTACGGCCATCACCGTGTTCGGCGGAAACGCTGTGACAGAAGGGACTCGGTAATTTTACTAGCGATATCAATTAGACGCATTCCACGCTGATTATCACAGACCACTCCGCCGTCGTTTTTGGGGATCGTTAGTTATATTGAGATACCACAACCTTTCAGGACGGACCCAGTTTTCCAGATTCACGGATTGATTCATTGATACACAGGATCGAGGCTTTTGCCCAAGTTTCCCGGGTCGGTTTTGTTCTTGTCGGTCAGTGGCTGTCGTTCACCTGAAGGACACAAGTGAAAAAAGTGTGTAGCAGTGCTCTTT